GACATGAGAACTAGACATGTTTGCAGCAAACATGGAAACCAACTATGAGAATCAAGCCATTTGACCAAGTCTACGTTGCCGTTTCTTGCTGCAATATGCATCAAAGTTTCGAGAGGATCGTTGGGCAGCGGCTGTGCATACGCCTCCGAGCCCTTTCTCACCTCACCGCCGGTAGCATCGACGTTGTCCTCCCAAACGCCCTTCTTCACTTTCGCCGAGTCGTTCTGCCGAGCAGCGGCGAAGACCTCTGAACGAAGTCTCTGAATACGAGCTTGCTGGTCTCGCGCCTTCTGTTCAGCTGTCCTCCGGGTCGCTTCTGCTTGAGCCTTCTTGGTTTGAGCTTTAAGTTCTCGTCGTCTCTCTGCTTCCTTCCTCTCTAAGGAAGTTGTAGAATAAAGATAGCAACAGCTGTCTGTGTATAATTAACGTACCCTTCTCGCGTTCTTCCTCCTGCCGAGCCTTCCGTGCTGCCTCCTCTCTTGCACGTCGGGTCTCTGCTTCTTCCTGCTCCTCACGGGCACGACGCATACGAGCTTCGCGTTGTTCCGGAGTCTCCGGTGCAGTTTCTCGGCGGAATTGTGAACCTGGACAGAAGAGACAATGAACAACGTTACAAATGATCAAAAGCATTCACTCACGCATGTGGGAGTAGTGGCTTGAGCGTCCTCTCATTAGGTCCTCGAACATGAACCTAAGTAGACATGTTGAACACCTGCCCACGATGCTCTGGACAAAGACTTACATATAGAAGGCGAAGTCATCTTCAGAGGAGTCGTCATAGTAGTAGTAGTCGTCGTCGTCGAAATCATCGTAATCATCGTATTCGTCCTCATATGGATGGAAGTTGTACATATGCGGATGGCCACCAGCGGGGCTAGATGGCCTATCAAGATGCTTCAGCAGGACATTGTATGCTTCACTAATCTTCTGGAATTGGGCGGTGGCGTCTGTATTACTCGGATTCTTGTCCGGATGGGTCTTCAGCGCCAGCTAAGCTCTCGTTAGCCATGAGCTCATAATATGAACAGATACGATGAGTCACCTGCTTGTAGGTATTTCTGACAATTTCCAGCGACGCGCCCTGTGGCCACAAGGTGTAAGCCATGTAAGATTAAACGGTAACGGTCATACCTGCTCAATCCCTAAAATCTGATACGCCTCAACAACAGTAGAGTGCTTGTGGGGCATCGCGTTGTGGAGGGTAATGGCAAGAAACCGGAGAGCGCGAAAAACGCGTGCATATGCAAGCGCCCGAACGCGTCCACAACTCCGTCGCGTGGCTTACATATGTATACAGCGCTTACTGTGGGTCGCAATACGCTCATAAATGCTAGCGGACGAGCCAATTAGCAGAGTGAAGATGGTGTATCAGCGCGTATGTCTCAAGAAGAGAAAACTGGGCGCGTTAATCGAGAGTGAAGTCTCGCATTAGGAGTATGGTCGATCCACAATAGCATTACAACTCCGCTGGAGCTAACTGATACACGCATACAGACCGGCGTAGAAATAATGAAGAAATATGATGTAGGACTCAGCAGAAGCGGTCACTGAGGAGAAGATTTTAGTCTTACAACGTGTAAGAGTCTTAAGTGACCCACCTCTTCAGTTTGGAACGGCGGTCTAGCAATGCCTCCGCTAAGCGACCTTCTTTACGTGCTTTCTTCAGCTGCAACGACAATCAGATCGAGGTTATGGTAAATGCACGCGTAGTCCATACCTCTTTCTTGTCGTCCACGGACACCACAGTCCTTCCAGCACCCCAAGCTTGATAGATTTTACTGCCAGGTTCCAGTCAGCCGGCCTCCCATCTGGCACACGCACAAAGCCACTCACTTTGCGCTTGTTTCATCGATCTTCGAGGCATCCACCATACCCTCTGTCCGCTTCTTCTCTTCCTCGTGTGCTTCTCGCTTGTACTTGCTCTGGATCTTCACCCAGAATCGTTCCCGGAAGCCGACCTCCTCGCTGTCCCCTCTTAGCGCAAGCTGCCCTCCGGCAGTCTCATCCACGCTGAGGTACTTCTCGTAGACGTTCTGGAACGCCACCATGCCGTCCGGGAAGACTACAGGCGTCCACTCTTCTTGTGGTCCACGAGCCTCGCGATCTGCTGATACCAGTCCGTGCTTGTCGCAAGACAAGAACTTCCCCTCCCCTGTCCCTGTCCGCAAGTTAATCGTAGGTGAGCCCGCGACGCGTGTCGTCACCCATACTTGTGATACTTCGGTGGGTACACGTTCCAGGAGACTCGGGTGCTCGGAGTCCTCTGACTTGTCCTTGTCTAGAGACTGCACGACAATGCGCCCTCGTGTAGAGTCATAAGTGATCGTGATTGGCGAAGGGTCAGATGGATGCACCATGAATGTCGGCCCGCGGATCTCGACAGCGCTCTCTGGCAGCACCCAAGTCTCGGAGGCCTCTTCGTCATTCTCCCTTCGCCGGCGACGGCTGCTTCCAGCACCTTCATCGTCGTCCTCTCTCGTACGCTTCTTCTTCGTCTTCTCCCCCTTAAACTTTAGCTTAGTTGAGCGAACCTTGTCGGTAGACATATGCGCTAGTGTCCGAGTTCAGCACGAGAGACGATGTCGGTAGTGTTTAACGGAGTTTCTTTAACTCCTGGAAGTTTTAGGTTAGCTAAGTAACTATGAGAGCGTAGCACGGCGAGTAGCCAGCGGAGGTAGCGAGAGGTATGTAGCAAGCCGCCGAGCGTCGTTAGCACGCAGTGTGGGCAAGCGCCCGTATTATGGGCGTCTATAGATCGTGAGAAAGTTGCATCTTTTGGTCGTCCGCACAGAGGTGTCAACGAGCACGCCCCACCGCCGGTATTCCTCAAGACCCTCAAGATGAAGTTCAACCCTGGTCAGTTCATGTCGTAACGATCCCTGGCGACCTCTACTGCTGCTGGAGCCCGAAAGAACGGCTTCTATCGGTGAAGAAGGGCTGGATGGGCACCTCGAGGAGTGGATGTCGCCTGGGAGGACTATGCTGTTCGGGCGAGGAATGCTGACGACTCACATATTTCTGCTTTGCTCGTGACCCACAGACGTATCTTCGTCCCGGCGCAAGTCGCGCAAGGCGCACTTCTCGGCGCCGTCTTCCGTTCGCAGGAAGATCATGTCTTCTGCCCTCTCTCGTGAGCTCCGCGGAAAGTACAACGTATGTCTCGCGTCATAGTGCAGGCTCATGGATATGGTCTTACTCGAATTCCAGACCCGCTCGGTACCCATCCGCAAGGACGACGAGGTCCGGATTGTCCGGGGAAAGTACAAGGGCCGGGAGGGCAAGGTCACCCAAGTATACCGCAAGAAGTGGGTCATCCACGTTGACCGAGTCCAGCGCGACAAGTCGAATGGCGCGACTGTCCCCATCGGCATCCACCCCAGCAACGTCGTCATCACCACTATCAAGCTGGACAACGACAGGTACGTTTTGCGCCCTCTGGAAGAACTCTGCGGAAACCCATATAATGCATGCACGAACAGGAGGGCGATCCTTGAGCGCAAGGACAGGAAGAAGAGCAGCAAGGCTGGTGAGGATGTGGAGATGGTTGACGTGCGTCCAGAGTTTTCTAGTAGTGCTATATTTCTGACATTATTTTAACAGTAATTCTCTCCACTTTCCGTCCGCTGCTCTCTTGTCCTCTTTTCGTCTCGCTATCGATCCGTACTGCCAAAATACTTCACATGTATGTATGCGCATACGCATATGTTATGCACCATGGGCTACTGGCCGTCCACTCCAACGAGGCCAATCACACTTGTAGGATACCTCGGATTTGCGTACATCAAACGATGGTAATCCGGAATGGATAAACGTGATGGGTATGCTATTGTGACAGTTGGGATGTGATGTCCGTCCGAACATGAATCATACGAATCAGGAACTGCAGAGGCTAGAAAATGACGTCTTCGTCTTTGCTGCTGAGCAAATCCACTCCGCCCTTATCAACGTTCTCCGGGCGACGTTCACTTTCCGTAGTGGCGGCTTGTGCTTTCTCTTGGTTTTGCACTTCAGCGGCTTGCGCATCGCGTTTCTTCTTGCCTTGCACCTTCTTGAGGCTTACGTGCGAATTGCGATCAGAACGCGGGATTGAGAGTCGACGAGTATACTGACCGGAAGAACTCCTCACGGTCCATTTCATCCAGCTCGCTCGTGATGTACTTGATGGTGTTCTCCATACGTGGAATGACGACATGTTCAATGGCATTCACTCGGCGGTTGGTCGCCCGAATGACCTCGTCGAGGATCATGAATGCAGTCTGCAGGGAGGCGAGTTCCACCAGTGTCTCAACAGCCTTTGCATAAACCTCTTTGGAGCGCTGCACTTGTTGACCTCCGCGACCCAGGCCGGTCAAGTTGAAGTCTGTAGTGCATGAACAGATGGGCGTGTTACAAGGGCGGGGTACGTTGAAGATGAGTATGGACGAACCAGATCCCTGCACGCGATCAGGTTCAAAGGCGGGGATCACGACGCCGGAAACGTTCTCCTGCCTTGCCTTTACCCTGAAAGAGGCTGTCTTCGCTTGCTCCTGTACCAGATAGGAGATGTCTCCGGTGGCATAGCTAACCTCCGCGAGCGAGAACGACGCAAGCTGCATGACCCGCCCCATCTTGCGCTTTGCCTGCGTCCAGGTCAGCACATTTCATCGCACGAAAGGGGATGCCAAAATAAAAGGCCATGTCTGTGCGAATTCTGTGGCAAACGTGAACTATGATACACGCACTTCGTCGACCTTGCGGAGGATAGCACGGAAGCGGTTCGTCAACGCGTCCCGCTTCTTGGCGAGGAGCGAGTGTCCGGTCTGCGCGCCCTTAAGACGCATCTTTGTGTTTGTCAGAGCCATTCGTGTGGGGAAGACACTCTCGCGAGCACCTGTGCCTGACATGGCTGCAGGACGAGCGACGATGCAGAGGAGATGCCGTCACACTTCCAAGAGGATAATGGCCTCCGCCGCTCGGTACAGCATCATCCTTATATATTCTGCTGCGCACTCATCCACATCGCCGGAATAGCTCAGCTGGGAGAGCAACAGACTGAAGTCCATCGGCTTTCTGGAGGTCCCGTGTTCAATCCACGGTTCTGGCATTACATTTTATAGTTTTAACCCGCGAAATTGGTTACGGCGCTTGATATTGGATATCTATCTGCTCGTCAGGTTTGACGCTAGGCGCAGGTAACGATATACGGATGAAAAGTCCCTGTCTGCCAGCTCCGGATCCTCTCTCACGACGTCCGCATAAATTTGCTCCGCCGTCTGTCCCAAAGGTAGCGGAGTGCCTACAGAGTCCGCGATGTCTTTGGCCAATCCCATATCCTGTTGGAAAGTTAGTTCCACAAAGTTTTGTCACCTCATTCACTGCATACCTTCAGCATAAGAGTAGTTGCAAATCCACCTTCATAATCCCTCTCACATGGAGGCGACTTCTCTGGGACGGCACCTGGTACTGGGTTGTTCACCGAACATGCCCAGCATGCTCCAGTCGAACTATTTATAACCGCGGCCAGGACCTGCGGGTCAAGGCCGAGCTTCTGGCCCAGTAGCATCGATTCAGCAACAACAATCTGCTGCACGCCAAGCACGAGATTGTTGCATATCTTTGCGACAAGACCAGCTCCGGATGACCCGCAGTAGATAATCCTCCCTCCCATGTGGGCTAGAATGGGTGTCGCGAGTTCGAACGCGGTATTCGTGCCGCCGACTAGAAAGCTAAGCGTGCCTGCTTTCGCACCAGCAACGCCGCCAGATACTGGTGCATCCACCATGATTGCACCTGTCTTTGCAACATGAGCGGCTACTTGTCGCGCAGCCTCCACGTCCAGCGTAGTGGAGTCAATACATAATGTCGACTTCGCAGACTCCGGGGACAACTTCATTAGAGCCGGAACAATACCGTCGTCCTCCGTGTATGCACTTCGGACATGTGGGGATGAAGGAAGCATCGTGATGAGGGTCCCAGAGACTGCTGCAACCCTGCGTGCAATCATAGACGGTAATTCGCCGAGGTGAACAGCTGAGTCGCGTATATAAGGCCCGACTCACTCCGCAGGCGTGCTCAAGACGTCCACCTTCGCTCCCGGGAACTGGTCCGCAAATTTGCGCACAAACCGCTCCGCGACCTCTTGTCGCGCATCGCAGACGGTGAAACGCGTGCTGCCCCCACTCTCGACGAGCGTCCGCGAGAAGAGGTTATAGGCCATCTCGGAGCCCATCCGCCCCAGGCCAATGAAGCCGAGCGTGTGCGGCCTGTATGCAACAGCCGAAGAGGATGGTATGGCCTGAAGAAGACGTAGCGTGGGCCTCATGGTGAGTGGTATCTGAAAGATGTGTAGCCAGTCGAGCCAGCGACTCAACGGCGGCCTGGTCAAGTCGGCTGCCGCTGGATGCCCACTCTTTCCCCGTGGGGAAGCTACCGGGGTCCCACCATCCAGTCTAGGCCTGGACCCTGTGCACCGTATCCGGCTGGACCGGAGAGCATTTTCGGCGCGCTCTTGTGTACGGTGGCTGCCGCTTCGCACGATCCTGAGAGGCATCGTGAGCGGTGCCCGACACCGTTTCCCCTGCTGGGCGTCCCCCTCTCTCCGGGCATTAGCAAGACGTATCATGCTCTGACACGTACGCCCACTACCCACGCAACGTTCCCTTGCAGCGAAACTCAGCGAGGCGGAAGGTTATTAGCCGAAGTACACGCCGAGGCAACATGTTACCCTCGCTCAGCTCGAGCACTAAACTCGCTGCAGTCCCGGAGGCACCTCAGGAACACCCTGACGTCGAGTACATTGCACTTTCATCAGACTCGGACATTGCCCCAGTCGTTGCCAACAACTCCATCATGGGCCTTGACGAACAGTTCTCGAAACCGGAAGGACGGAATGGTGATAATGCCGCGGGGGTAACTGCCTATGTACGCCTCGCCCGTAATCGAGTCTGCTGTGTATCTTAAACGAGGACTCTTAGGCGTCTGTTGGTGTATGTCGCAGATCTCGTACCAGCTGTACCTGGCATGGGGGCTCATAGCATCTGGGATACAGGTCTTCCTTGTGTCGACATGGGTTATTTTGTTCGCCAATGATCCATCGAGCCTCGGGTGGTATTTTTGGCACCCGCTGCTGAATAGCGCAGCCATCGTGTGCTTCACCTATGGCAAGCTTCATCAAATCTGCTGTTGACGGATACTCTGACCTCCCGCTTAGGCATCCTAACTCTGCAGCCAACATCACAACCCAGAACAAAGGCGGCGGGACTCGCGAGACACCAATTGTCCATGCTCATCATTGGCTTTCCTCTCATCTTCATGGGTACTTTTGCGATCTTCTATAACAAGATTCTCCATAACGGAAATCACTTTGTCACCTGGCATGCTGTGAGTTTTCAAAAGTGACGTCCGCTTGTGAAAATACCCCTCAATGACCATCTGACAGAGCTTTGGCCTGTTATGTATCGTCTGGATCGTCGCGCAAATCATCATCGGGGGCGGCAGCGTCTGGTTCCAAGGACGCCTTTTCGGCGGCTTTCCCAACGCCAAGCTACTCTGGAAATACCACCGGTATGGCCTTCGTAACCTATGCATTCTTGATCGCGTCTCACATCTTCGCTTTCCTTCAGGATTTCGGGGTATTTGTTATTCCCTATCATGTTGTTCACTGCATATCTTGCTGGTGCATGGTCGTCCTGGACCACCAGTCATGTCCCCTTGGTGGTCCGCTTGGTTGCGTTCATCATTGCTCCAGCTGTCCTTGCGATTTCTATATTCTCACGACTCAGGTATGCTCCCTTTGATTGCATTCACCGTGCTTTTTACCTGACGTTTATACCTGCAGGCCATCGAAATTGGGGATTATGTGATGTTCTTTGGCTGCCGGCCGCTCACTAGACCCGCTATGTGAGCTATCATGTCTCGCATAATATGCCTATAATATGTATGAAATTTCTTTCCGTAGCAGAACGCGTCAGGACAGCATGCGCAAATCTGGAGCTTCCGATCGTCCAGACATTTCCCATGTCTCTCGGTCATCTCCGTATGTGTCGATTGTCGTCAATCAATGAGATCCATGTGTATGACTTCTCTGAATAATTTGGAACATTCTCTTCTCCATTACTCCACTCTCGGATGCTGCGACGGGAAGTGCGGTCACCAGGCACTCGCTGAATGCCGCTTCGGCCGTCCCAGGATTAGTCACAATAAGCTCGAGAAAGTTCGCAATGTTGAGCAGGTACACGAAGGTGCTAGCAAAGGCTACGAGCACACTTTAAGCTAGCGGCCACATTAATCTACTGGTTACCAATACTCGTGATGGTGACACTTCCCATCGAAGGCTTACACTTCCTTCTGCCTCGCTACTGTGCATATATTACGACCTCTATACAGTACTTCCGCCACAGGCGCTCCATATCGATTCGGAAGAAGGACGGGAAACCGTGCGCAGTGCGTCTAAATTCCGGTGGCAGTGTGGCAGTGAGGTTGACAGTGACGGCGCCATTGTTGCAAAATATTGCGTGAAAGCGCAGTCCCAGTATGCGAATGAAATGGACAGATTGGCGGCCGTGCCTTCTCTCCATTTCTGAACAAGCGTACCTCTCCCGAGCCTCCGCTGGCTCGGACCCTGGACAACGCACACCCGGATCATGTTTCAGCGGACAGGCATAACTTATAACTTCTCGTACATTTCTCCATAACTAATAATATACGTGTAGGAGGACCGCTGTGTATCTACTGAAATACTGATACAAAATAATGTGTTCCCGTGGATAGTCGCCGTGTGTTCTCGGAGAATTACCTTTTTAGGCATTGGCCTCTGAGCCGCGCATTTTGATGAAGACAGATCGAATCGGGACATCGTCTCTTGTCTTCCGCTGCGGCCGCGCTCTACGTTATCCCGTCAACATGCCATCGAGGGTTAGTCTTTGCTCATGTCGGCAGAGCACCTCAAACTCTGCGTCGTACGTCGCTACTGGTCGAAGCAATCCGGCAGAACCCATGGGCACGCTTTGCGATAAATGATCCGGATTGCACAATTTGGTCTGGGAACCCAAAACTGCTTCAATTACCTGCACATCCCTCAGTAGAGCCAAGGCGCCTTATCTCTTAGCTCTGCCAGTATCTCCTGAACGCAGTCCCTCTCGGCGGCGATCAGGGTCGTGATCAGACGACAAGAGGCTAGCATCCCGTACCTTGCTTTGTCATATTGGCAGTAGCACAGCGGAGGGCCGCTCAAGCGCTAACGCGGGCATGATGCAAGACGCCGAACTCTCGTTGGTCAGCGTGAAGCTTCCGTTCTCACTCGCGAATCCTCATTGAGATCGAAGGGGCGATCGAATGTTACGGCTGAGGCTAATCAGTGACTCGACCGTGAACTCATTTAAGCTCTCCACCGGTTGCGTTATGGGTCCACACCATGGACGCGGATTCGCCTCCGTCGTATTGCAACCCTGCATCCTGCAATCCTGTTCCCCTTTACTCTGAGACACCCAGTCACTGCGAGCATGTCCTACAGCCTGTCGCGTCCGCACCACCCATTGCACGGTGCTCCTATGATCTTGTGTACAGAGGTGATTCTCTGGAGGTGAACCTCGGGAAGTCGCTATGGGGCCTGAAGTTCCCTGCATATGGCAAAGGTGGTGTTGTCGAAGGGATTGTAAGATTGCGCAAGAGCTGTAAGCACGTCATGGAAGTGACAGCCGTGGTACGCAGAATTGTGATATGAACTTTGCCATCATTTTTACACGACTTCCAGCTACGGGGAGTTGCTAAGACGAGCTCAATTCAGCATGCGCGGGTAGCAGTCCCTGAAATCTGGACGAAAGTTGTCTTGTCGCGCACCATGGTTCTCTTCTCGTCAGCCAATTGCTCCATCTCCCACCTGGACAACGACTTTAGTCTCAGCATACCATTCGTCGATTCCGCCAACGAAGGGGGACAACCCCTGCCCCCTTCTTTTACTGCATACCTGCCAGGCACGACGTGCGAGATCATATACCATCTGCAGCTCGACGTCGTACGCCGAGGCCTTCGAAGGCACGAGACGTACGTCTTCCGCGCGCGCACGTCGATCGCCAGGCATGCTGAACGTGGTTCTATGACAGACTC